AGGGTTTGAGGAACCAAGTTCCTATTTTAAGTTCCGTCATTTCATATGAAATTTTTTTCTTAAACACGAGAGAATATAGAAGTTTTAGGTGGAACTTCTTTTATTGTATAAGTTCCGTGCATCAAACACGAAACTTGTATAGTAATGGAGAAGGTCCTTCTTCTTCTCTAACTTCCTCTTATCATACACGCCCTAAGAGAATTGACACGTTGATCCTTAGTATTTTGGAATTTAAAAGAAAATGTTAAACTAATGCCTAGGCCTTATAGAAAAAAATAAATCATCACCTCAAAACTCATTAAAAATTGTTGTTCCAGTGTTGAAAAGCCTTCAAATCGATCATCGCAACCTTGTATGTTACGGTTGTGAAAAGAATTAGGATTTTAAGAACTTAAAAGCAGTGTATATTGTAGTATATTATCCGTACTATACATTTTCATATGTTTACGGATATGCAAGATTTGCAACATTTCTTGAGCTACAAATTTCATATTCTTAAAAATTGATTTTAGAGCCGTCATAGCAATTTCTTTTGCCTAAAACATTGTTTGGACGAGGTTTCAAGTGAGGCTTTAATTAAATTTTTTTATAAGGCCTAAGCTTTATAGAAAATGCATCCATTTAAAAATGGAAAATGGTTTGATAAGGCCGTAGACTTATAAAAAAAGTACAACCTCATCGAAAATTGCAGTTCTAGCATTAGAAAACCTTCAAATCGATCACCTCAATATTAACTATTAAGGTTGTGGAAAAAAAAAAAAAGGATTTCAAACCCTACAAATACTATATATTGTAAAACATTATCTAAACTGTCTATTCCGCCCTAAAAACAAGTGTCTACAAATCTGCAATATTTGTACCATTTTTTGAGCTTCAAATTTTGTAGTCAGTGTTGGAAATTAATTTTATAGTGATTATGGAGATTTTTTAGATTAGGATTCAAGGTGAGGCGTTACTTTGAGTTCATAAAGACTAGACCTTATAAAAACTCCATCATTTAAAAAAGCTCGCATGAGCGGATAGTTCACCCACAAACCCATGTCAAATCACTGAATTGGCAATCTAAATTATTCCAATTGGTTATCGTAAAAATATTTTAAAAAAGTAAAATAAAATAAAAATAAAAAATAAAGATTTTTTCGGTGGGGATTTAAGGGGACCTAAAAAAATATTAAACAAGTTTAAAAAGGGGAAAAAATAAAAATAAGAATGGTACTTCAAGTGGAAGAAGGTCAAGACCCATACAATCCCAAAACCGGCTCATCCCAACCAAGTCCCATTGGAATTGGCGATCCGCATCAAAAATTGCCAGGTTTTAAAACATGTATTTCATATTTTACATAGTATTAAATTTTAAGTATGTAATATAGGTTTTCGGTTTTATTTCCTTTCTATTGTATTCAAATCACATTTTAGGCTTTCATACTTACTGCTACGACGATTACAAAAAATAATAATTGAAAATAAATTTAATCATCGAATTACCCTTAAATCTTGCACGGGTGTTTTGATAGTTTGCATTTTTTAAATTATTTTTATATTTTTTATGGATGAGTAATGTCTAGAAGTGTAAATATCTAAAATTTGAACTTTATCTAATGTATAAAAGATAAAATAAAAATATATTACCTATTCTCAAAAGTGGATTTGAGTGTAAAATGTTAAATACAATGAAACCATCTATCTGTTGTACAAGGAGGTTACAATTACTTACAACTATCCGATGTGAAATTTGATAGCTTGAGTGTGTCACAAAGCTCAAAAAAATTTAAATTTCATTTGAACTTTGTGCATAGTCCATGAAATAAATGCTACCACCCAATTTCACATCCAAAGGTCAATATTAATTGTGATCACCATGTACAAAAGGTAAATGGTCTTCTTGTATACTTTTCCTTCATAATTTAAAAAGAGTCCATCTATCTATTGTACAAGAAGGCTACAATTGTCTACAACCGTCCGACGTGAAATTTGATAGCTTGAGTGTGTCACGAAGTTTAAGAAAATTTCTTTTGAGCTTTGTGAATGGTCAATGAAATAAATGCAACCACCCAATTTGATATCCAAATGTCAAGATTAATTGTGATCACCTTATACAAAAGGTAAATGGTCTCATTGTATACTTTTCCTTCATAATTTAAAAAGAGTCTCATATATTTCATATTTAATATTCAAGTTTAACCGATAGCATAAAGTGTATTTTAAGTTTGGGTGTGGTTTCTATGAGGTTGCAACCTTAAACAATCCAATTCAGATGCACCTCCAAATTTTATCATGATATATAATTTTGGTGTAAATAATTATTAGGATTAGTTCAAAATCTATTTTCATATCTAATTATAAAATTTTAAATTTCAAAAATGGTTAAAATCAAGTAGACCTATAAACTTATGAGAATCTTGAAAATGGCCGGTCTATATAATGTATTGCAAGATGCACTATTTTTGGGATTTAAAATCTTTTTTGTTTTTTCTCATATCATACATCTCGATGTCGAGATGATCAATTAACTTTTAACATTAAAACAATCGTTTCCGATTGATTTTTGAGATGCATCTTTAATTCTACATTGGCAGGTTGCCACCTTATATAAACTTTTACCTTTAATTTCATCTGTTTTTATATATTAGGTTGAGTTCAAAATTGGTAGGTCTACACTTCTAACCATCACACATTCAGAAAAATATTAAAATATTAAATAATCAAAACACCCTGGCAACATTCAGGAGCAAACTAGTAATTTTATTTAATTTGAATATTTTTAGATACATTATATAGTTATGTGACGGTGAGTTTTATTTGATATATAAAATAAGAAATAAAATTAAAGAACAATATATGCTTTGAAAAAAGTATGACTTGAGTATAAAACGTAAAGTATATTGAACTATATTTTAATTCCAGAGATAAAACAATATGTTTTCTATAAATTTCCCGTTTTGTTTATACATCTCTTTAAATTAGTCTCTGGAAAATTTATTAAGCGGAAGCCATTTGACATATAGAAGTTTAGAAATACTTGTTTGATGACATGTCTAGAAGTTCTTGCATACAGAGTTTGTACTTCACAATGATCTAAAAAAAAGCAGAGGTTAGGCTTCAAACTTCATAGACAAAAAGAGGAGAGAGAGAGAAGATTTATAGTAAGAAAGCACGTGGTGAGAAATGACACAATTAAAGAAAGAATGAACTTAGAGAGAGACATAACGCGCGATTAAAGACATGATTAGAGAGAGGAGTTAAAGAGTATGACATCTAGAGAGAGTGAGGAGCTATCGAGAGAAAGGAGAGTGATAGAAATAAGTTATTGAGATAAAGGACATGGTTAGAAAGAAACAATTTAGCGAGAGAAAGGATACAATTTGAGAGAAAATGATACATGAAGCTAAAAAAAGGCAAGAGGCAAATTCTTAAGAAATAGGATCGGCAAACTTCCATGAAAGGATTGGACGATGCAAGTTCTCATATTGCGATAGCCCAAAACTTCCGAAAGCTAGTTCCCAAGGGCACTTCATGTCAATAAACTAGGAAGTGCTACGCTGAACTAGAAGCCCTAGCTTTTGAAGCTAAAAATTCTAGTTATCAAACATACCCCCTCCAAATTATGAAAGTAGAGGAGTAAGTAATTGGCTCCCTATTGAATTACTATAGCACAGATTTTTTATTTCAGCATATACTTTGCCTTTGTATTGATTGAAGAGAAATTCTAACCAGTTTTAAACTACAAGGGCGTGTTTGTTTCACGGGAGTTGGGGTTTCGAGAAGGCGCTGCTTTCACAAACTGTAACAATCCCATGTTTGTTACGTGAGCGGGGAAGCCACTATTTGGAAGCGGAAGCTTCCAGACTCCCTAAAAACAGCATTAAAATTCTTACCATGGTCATTTCAGACCATTTTTAGGAGATCAAATTTATGTTATAATACAAATTTGCTTTGGTGATGAGTGTTGTATGTACAAGCTCTATTTCAAAGTGTAGTAGTTTTGGCTGCATCAGTTGGATCTCACACCAATTTTAGGTGATCACAATTATTTAAGACAATTCTTATGGATTTACATTAGTGCAAGATATGATTTTCAAATGCGAGTGATTTCTATAAAGCCTAGGCCTTGTGAAAAAGAAAAGAAAAAGTCCACCTCAAATTCTCTTCTGGAAAATATATCGAGTATGGAAAACCCTATTATGGATAAAATTTATATTTCAAATAATAGTATAGATCTCGCAGATCCATAAACACTTGAAAATGGAGGGTCTAGATAATATGTTACAAGATAAGCTATTTTTAGGTCTTGAAATCTTTACTTTATTCGACATCTATAATAGCCAAGGTCGAGATGACCGATTTGTAGGCTCTTTGATGCCAGAACTACAATTTTCAGAAAGATTTGAGATGCAGATTTACTTATTCTTCAGAAAGTTTAATATTTTTCATATTTTCCTTTCCATATGAAATGCCCATCTATCAATATGAACTAAGAAGCAATCAATACATAGTTATCTAATTTTAAACAAGTATTTAAAAAGATGAACATAATAATTGGCAGTAAGGTAATAGATTTTAGAATGCATTAAAAGAGATAAATTCACAATTATAAAAAAATTAATAAATGTTGTTGGCAATCCACAATTAAATTGGTGCCTACTTCTACAATAATTAAACCTTTCAAATAACTTAATTTCTTTGTCACATGCGAAGCATGTGCATGCTACTAGCAGTCCGAATTTCGTTACGAATGGGCTTGGGCTTAAGTAGTTAGCAATAAATGTTTAGCAGTGCTACATCTCAAGTTTGCTTTCTACTACTGAACTAACAAACAACAAAACCTAGTTAGAGTTTTGCACCTCTGAAAGAACACCCACTGCCAAGCATATGACACTCAAGATAAACTTTTTTTCATTTTTTTTTTTCATTTTTTCCCCTCTTCGTACTCAAAATAAACGACAAAAACCCCCAAGAAAAAATGAATTAAAAAAAAAAACTATTTGTGTACAATACATGAAACTTCAAACCTTAGGAAACTATGTATATAACGGTCCAAGTGATAGTTACATCAATAATAAAAAGAAGAATACACAAAATCATAGCTATGAAGAAAAAAAAAATGAAAAAATAAACTATCACCAAGTCAAAAGTGAGGATAAAAAATGCCAAGTCCTACCAAAAATATGCAAACAAACAAGAAAAAAAAGAAAGAAAGAAAAAGAGTACAATCTTCTATCTTTCATCCCCACTATTTAGCCATCCACATCCTCAACTGGAGTACAAAAGCAATGGTGGCCAATACACCAAGAGAAGCCCCATACCCAACATTCCATGCCTTGGGTTTATCCTCACCAAGATGAATGCCATAGAAAATATTTGCAGCTGCAAGTATGACAAGGCCCCTCCCCATCCAATGGTGGTACCAATTCCAATACTTCCTAACCTTTGAGGCCTTGTCTGGCCTAGCCAATATTGCCATGACCTAAAACCACAACCAAAACAAGGTTAAAAACCACTAAAATTTGCCCCATGGACATGTATAATCTTTGGTTCTAAACTTAGAAGTGAACAGTTTGTTACATCTACTCCTAATTGAATTGAAGCCATTTCAGTTTGACTTAGGACTTCAACTTAAAATGAAATGATTATTTGGTCTACAATCTCTAACTAGACTTATGGGATTGTCTATTTATTTCTTGTGTGTAGAGGTCACAATCATTCCCACTCATTAGATGATACACTAATAATCTTATTTCGGGATTTAAAAATGATGAAGTCATGAGGAAAGGAAAATTCACCTAAAAACACATCTTTTAACATTTTTTCTACGCCTTTTGATTTAGGGTTGGTATTGCGTCCAACATGTTGTGGACGCTTAAAACGTGCACAAGCATTTTTTAATAGTTTAGATTGAACCAACCTGATTTTATTGTTTAAAATATTATTAGTCATTTTTATTTAGTTATTTATAGGAATGAACCTACACCCCAAAATTTAGATGAAAATATTATTTATATTAAAATAAAAAATAAAATAGAAGATTCATTTTTAACCCCGAGATATGCCCCTGTGAAATCTCATTGTGGGAAGGGTGCTTGTGCACCGGTCCACATAGGGGTGGCAACGGGTCGGGTTGGGTCCAGGTCTGGTTGGACCCCAAAATATAATGTGGGATCCGGACCTAGACCAAGACCGAGACCCGATCGGACCTGACCCAAAAATTAAAATATATATTTATTTAACTATATTTAAATATATTTCATACATTGGGTCCCGAAACATACTACCAGACCCGTACCGGACTAGTGTTTGGATCCAAGATTTGGAGCCGGAGCCAACCCGCCAAATCCAATTGTTGGACCCATACCCAAAACCGCATTGGGTCTACTGCTCGGGTCCCAGGTCAGGTCTGGGTCCATTGCCACCTCTACGTCCACATGACGTGGATGGGATTCAAATCCTAAAATCCCATCAAAACACATATGATCATGAATTGGGATAGTTAAAAACAAGTAAAATACTACACAATTGGTAAATTAGATCTATTTTGACAAATTTCCAAAAAGGAAAAATTGGATCTAAGGGGAAGTGGAAGGCAACCAACAAAACTGACCTGAAGGCACCCAATTACAAGGATGGAGATCCCAATGGCACGATGTTTGGGGACATCAGCAGCGAGCTTGTCATAGAGCCTAAACCCTGAAATTACCCCAGCTAATCCAAGGGCAAACCCAGTGGTTTGGAAGCCTAGGTGAAGGTAAAACCACAAGGGATCCCATTGCCTCAAGAAACGAGCAGCTATGGCTCCTATTGGCAAGAGAATGCCCCATCCCACCAGATTCAGCAACCCATGAGTTCTTCTTAGAGTAGTGTAAGGGGTGCCTGTAGTTGAGCTTGTTCCTGAGAAACAGTAAGAAAATTAGTAAAAATAATGCCTTGATCGATCAATGTTAATGAATTGTGTTTACGGTGGAAATAGTCGGGTAGGGTCTGGGTCAGAGTCTATGTATATTGAGATTGTCTACAAAGAGACTATTTATATTTTGTACAAGGAGGTCGCAATCATTATTGTCATTTAAATTTCAAAATGGGTGGTTGTAAGAGTGTCAGTGAATAGAAACAAATTTCATAAAAAAAAATTCTCTGACTTCATGAGTCATCCCAAGCCATCCAATTCGACATCTAATAGGCGAGAATAATTGTGACTTCCTTGTAATATAAATGGTCGCTTTATAAACTCTCGTGACCTAATTAGGTCTATGATGGAGCGTGGCCTAGCCAAACCCGACTCTCAGGTCCATACTTCTGGACTAGGACCAGACCACTTGGTCCAAAAGCTAGACCTGAACCCAGTCCTTAGCCAAGTCGATCCGGCCGCATTGATAGCTCTAATTGTAACTATAGGGCTCAACTCAATTTTGGTGGTTAATTGAGCTTAGACCTGAAATCATATCAGAGAGCATAAAGAGAACAGTGGTGATAAAGGTCAAGCCCTATGAGAATGGGGTTGGAATCGTGGTGGTAGCACCACTTGTGCCCTAGCTAAAGTATAGACCTCCATTCTCACCTTATAAATTAAAAAAACCACTAACGATTTGAAAAAAAAAACGGGTAGGAGCTCGTCTGAATTACCATAAAAAAAGGTCAAGCCCTATACAGGACCCAATTGTTCAATCTAAGCTCAATTGAACTAGACCTGACAAAGTGTCTAGGTCCATGTCCAGTCCAAACCTAATTGGGTCGGGTTCAGTTTAGGTTCATGTGTGTGCGTGTGTAAGAGTAAGAGAGAGATAGATATTACCGTACCTGTTGAGTATTCGATGGATGTAGAGATCATGTCCTGGTGTTGGGAAATCCTGGCATTGGAAGAAGGGATGTCATTTGGGGAGCCTAGGGCATAGAGGAGCCGGGTTCGGGGCATGCCAGTTTGGAGCTGGAAAGCTAAGTAGAGGCGCGAAGACTGCGAGACCAGCACAAGGCTCGAGTTATCAAGGGGCAAGTCACCTTGGTCTGGGTTCACCTGAGGGGTGCTCTTACCCCCTAAGTAATATTGCTTGATTACTCCATTGCCATTTGTAGGCAACCATCCCACAACTGCACTCGAACCCACCATTGATCCACTGGGTGAGAAGCCGATTCCGACCCATGTATTGTTGTTGGGGGCTGAAAGCACGAAGCTCCATGTGTTCTGACTGGTTTGCCCATACTGTGAGATGAGAAAATTTATATTTTTCTTCAAACTTTGATCCAAAAGAAAAAGAAAGTGACTATGAAAGAAAAGAAAAGAGAATGAATGCAGATTCTTCCTATGGTGACCGAATGAGGTACGCCACTTTTTAAGAAAATGAGCCTTCTTATAAAGGAAGGGAGTGTTTTTTTTTTGAAAGGGGTGGGGTCGTGGTGGCCGCACCCACACACAATAGTACCATGTTGTGGTTTTCATTCATACTTACACCACTTTACTAACGACTTATAAAAAAACTACCTCTTGAACTATCTTAAAAAACGGGTAGAGGTTTGTGTTCTCTATTGAATTATCTTAAAAAAAAAAAATTTATTTATTTTATTAGAAAAGCAGCTAGGTCGTAATGGTAGCACCCCTATACCTATTTACCATGTGGTTTCTAAGCCCAGCACCACCTACTCACACCGTCAAAAGAAGCTAACTCTTTAATCTATCTAACAAATTGGGTAGGGCCTGTCTCCCCGTTGAAATACCCAAAAAAAAAAAATGCATGTGAGTTTTTATTTTGACTTTTTTTCTCTGGTGAAGTGACATGGAAATTTAAATGGATAATTCTTTTGATGTTTGCGTGAGGTATAAATAAGTTCTCCTGTTAGTTTTAAAAGCCTTTACACGGGGCACCACGCGTATATAAAATAGATGTGAATTTCATTTTAGTTGTCCAGACCGTAATTAAAATATTATATATATATATAATATTTTTTATTATATATTATTTTATAGATATAAAATAGTACGTTAAATAATTTTTGTGGATCAAATCGAAACCGGATCCCGTGTATACGTTTTGGATCTTGATCCGAATCAAAATATTCTAAATCCGATCAGGTCCGGATCCAAACCGAATCCCATGTGTACTTTTTAGATAAAAAACTGGATCCCAGTTGATCCGGACCGAATCCAACCCATTCTCAACCCTACCATCTACTTATCTATAACAACCTCAAGAATCAGGTTTGTCTAAATGCCGATGAACCAGGCTCATTCGTCTACTGACCAAGATGTAGAGCTAGCAATGGTCTGGGCAAACCCTAGCCTAGGCCTAACCATATTCCCCTGAGAGCTGGCCAACAGGATACATACTAAGTAGTGAGAGACAGGAAAAACCATGGCTCTCTCTCTAGAAACCGGATATATATTGAGCAGTGAGAGACAGGTTGCAGATTGCTTTTCAGATTCAATCATGAAAACCCTCTTCCCTCAATAGACCTGGTCTCAAAAGTTCTTGATTTTCAAGAGAGAGAGAGGAACTGAACTGAAAAGCTTTTCAGAATCAAAACAGAGAGAGAGGAACTGAACTGAAACAAAAGGTTCATGAAGAAAAAGAAAGTGAAAAGAAGATGAAATCTAGGTGCAAAACTATTAAGATTATCACTAGAAAAATAACACAAATGATTACCCGGAGGATATAATTGTGAGAGCTCCAAACAGAGAGGCAAATGAGAGAGCTTGTGTTGAAGGAGACCGAAGCACCAAGATCAAGATTGGAACTGCATGAATCCGTTTGTGAATTCACTCTCACATCAAACAGGCAAACCACCAATATCAAAGCTATGCACAAAACCTTCATCTCTCTCTCTCTCTAACTATCCCTCTCTCTGTTTCTCTCTCTTCTCCCTTCTTCTTGAGAACTCCAAAATTAAATGGTACCTGGTTTTCTGAGAATCTCTGAAGAGAGAGAAAGAAAAAGGGAGGAGCAGGTGAGAGAAGAGAGATATTATACTATGGAGCAGTTGACCCTCACCTAAACTAGACCCAACTCCATATTTATAAGTAGTACCAAAATTTTTAGCCATGCTTTCCAATGTATTTTAATGGTTGAGTGTGTGAGTTTGCAAACGACTGGTCAGCTGGAAGAATCTCTCTCTTTTCCTTTGCCATTGTTTTTCTTAATAGAACTCCACGTTTTGGGCGCTTATTCAATTAAATTTCTATACTTTTCCTATGTTTCTTGAGTGGTCTTTGTCTCATTTGAGGTGTGATGTTATCTGTGATTTCAAGGCGTAACTGAGATTCTCTCTCTCTCTCCTCCCTTCGCTGTGTACATGAATCTGTCTCTCTCCTCCTTCGCTGTGTACATGTGTAAGAAAAAGCCCGATTAAGTAAATCCTCACTTCATCATTCATTGAAAATTGTAAGTTAAGCATTGAAAAGTCTTTACATTAATCATCTCGACTTAAACGTTATCTGTGAAAAATTTTCAAATTATAATAATAATATATGTTGTAATAAATCATCCAGACTAAATATTTTGCTTTAAAAATAAGTGTTCACATATGTATCACTCTTTTAGTTACAAAATTTATTGTCCATGTTAAAAATTGATTTTAGAGCCAGAGATTTTTGCGTGAGAAAGTACTTTTTGGACAGAGATTTGAAGTGAGCTTTACTTTGTTTTCGTAAAGCCTAGGCCATATAAAAACCTCATCCTAAAAAAATAAGCCAAAAGCTCCTGCGGGTACTTGTTCCCTCATATGATAGCCATCATTTTTAGGGTTCCAAATCTCAGGGACCAACTCTCCTCAACTTCGATGACAACTAGAGGCCGCAATGGCCCAGGTGGTCTGGCCCAGCCCTAAAACTAGGCCTTGAGAGGTGGCAATGGGTCAGGTGGTCTGACCTAGCCCTAAAACTAGGGCCTGAGATTGAGGCCACCAGGGGCAGCCGGGCCAAAGATATTACGGTGCCAGCCCAACATGGCCCTCCTTTTTCTTGACTTTTTCTTTTTTATTTTTCTTTTTTTTTATGTAGCCCGGCCTAGCCAATGGGGGTTAGGGCCAGGGCCCCTCTATGGACTAGGTCCAACCACCCATATAGGCCAAAAAATAAAAAAATATGGACTAGGTCCAACCACCCAAAAAAGCCAAAAAAAAAAAAAAAAACCACGTGCATTCATATATGCATGAAAAAATAAAGTCCTGATGTCCAATTTTTAGAGGTTCAAATCCGAATGTTTGTTTACCAACTCTTTTCCTTTTTTAAAATAGTCCTTGGTGATAATAAAGTTAATCTTGAAAATTTCTACCAAGAAAATATTTTTTGAATCTTTAATTCAAGGAAGTAAGTGTACAATGACAGAATAGCCATCCATATATGCTTTTTTAGTAATAAAATTCCAAAAATTTAAAATTTAAAATATACTGTTAGGGGGTGCTTGAAAATAGTGAAAGAGGGGTGTCAAAGAGACCCTCTTTTATATATATATATATATAGGGGTGTCAAAGAGACCCTCTTTTATTTATATATATATATATATATATATATATATATAATGATAACACGA